AAAAAAAAAAAAAGGAAGAAACTACTTGTTTAAAAAATTAAAAATTTAAAGTTTTTCAAAACTTACAAATACTACTAGTATTTAAATAATATTTGCATGAAACTAATTCTTGTATCTTTGCACATGAAAATTTCAAGTTAAAAACAATTGAAAACCTCGAATACTTTCATTTTGCATCGACCATCAGTTGGCGTCTAATTAGACGAAATAATACCTGGCCATTTAAGAGGAGCTCCCTGGGCGTAGGTGGGTACAAGTACGAGTACCGTGACAATGGAATTGACGGCCTTGATGACAGGAGAAATATCCTTTCCAAGCTACGGTCATTTTGTGGCCCTCGAACTGTCAGCAACCCATACACGCCGTCGCCCTGCTGCGAAACTAATAATCCAACGCCATTAACGCTGTTGTATCCATGATTAATGAAAGTATACACGTACACGTTTTATCCGTTAATACATCGCAGTAGTTTCATTTTATATTTGCGAATGAATCGTGCGACACTTTTCAAGTCTAAATTTAATAATAACAAGGACAAATGAAATTTATTGCTGTTAGTTGGATATCCGATGGAAATTAAATAAAAATAATGTCATGCATACGTTCAGAATTCATTTCTCAATTTTATCCTATACTTTTCGTAAAAATGAAGCATCTAATTTCGGATGACACGATGATTGGCAATTCCCTAGTTGATGGTTTCTTGCTCGAGCAATCTTAAAAGTAGACACGCCTATTTTTTCCATATTGATTTTCTGCTTCAATCTCGGATGCAATAGAAGAATCTATTCAACAGCAATTGTTTGACTTCGTGTTTCTTTGTTGGTGAGAATACGTACGAGAATACGTACATTTGACATTTCTAACGATATTTAATAAGTTTGATGTGTAACGTAGATCAAAAGTAACGAAACATGTAATTATACATACGTATACACTATATTATAAAGGCTATGAAAGGAGAAATTAATTTCTTTTTGTTCATTAGTTTTCAGAAGATGAAGAAATTAAACAATGAAAATCGAATTAATTAACGTTACAGCAATTGTTTTCCACAATATTCGCAGTCCTATGTGTAATTTAATGTACCTGGGTCTCCTCTAAGGTGGACGATTATTTTTTGCCACACTTCTGATTCTACATTTCTACATTTTAACACCACAAAATTATCATATTTCACTTGATCATCTGATATGGAAACAAATGTAGAGAGATAAGCGTTAGGAAAATTAATACCTGAACGTTTGATAGATGCTACCTTTCTTGAAACAGCAGGCGTAACATGTAACCTAACTTCTACACAGTTTCAAGATTATTGATCTACTTTAATTTTGCTTGCCTCGCAGAAGTAGAAGTCATTCTACAGCGCGGGAAATTTGAAGTCGATTTAAATGTTATCAAAGTTATACAGCCCAAAAAGTTGTAACTCAACAATTGAAATGAAATTAATTCTCTTAATTCTTACTTACAATTGTTTTACATCGTATGTGACATATATATTATCTTATTCATTCATTTAAACTTATTTAAATACGATGTGCTTACCTATATGTGCGTAATATATGTATGTGCCAATATTCTCCGGTTTTAGTTTATACCGAAAACCTCCAAATGGTAATATTGAACACTGTGTGACCATCGGAACACCGTCCATGTGAGCAGAATTTTTTTGCCGCAGTCCATGCCAATGGAAAGATAATTCTTCGGATCCCAATC